CCGAGCCCACGCAAACTCCAAGCTCTTCCTAAACCCGAGCCCACTCTTAATCCAGGTTTTTCTTAACCCCAAGCCCAACCCAAACCCAAGCTCTCCCTCACCCCCAACCTCACCCCGAACCCCAGCCTCTCCCTCACCCCCAGCCTCACCCTGACCCCCAGCCTCACCCTGGACCGCATTAACAACTAGAGGCCCGGTGCATGAAATTTGTGCACTATAGGGTCCCTAGGCCTGGCCAGCGATCAGGGCCAATAGGGGCCTTCCTTCCGGCTGCCGGCTAGGGCCTCCCTTCCCCAGCTGCCGGTTGCCAGCTGCTGGCTGCTGGCCAGGGCTTCCCTTCCCTGGCTGCTGGCTGCCGGCTGGAGCCTCCTTCATTCTGCGCCGGCCCCTGGTGGTCAGTGCACATCATAGCGAGTGATCGGTCTCCCGGTCGAACTCCTGCGGGGACAATTTGCACATTAGGCTTTTATATCTATAGATGAGTTTATAATCGGCCAAATGTTTGGGTTCGTACCTGGAGAGCTTGGTAAAGTAAATGTATCTCCGAGTCATGTTCCGAATAAAAGCGGGCCGCCTGGTGAGGAGACTGGGGAGCTGGTAGGAGTTGCTGTTGGGAGGAGGCTGAGGGCCTGGGGGGGGGGGGGTAGGAGGCCCTTTCACTGAGCAGTGTCTCTGGAACCGCTGCTCTGAGAGTCCCGGCGGCGCCCTGTTTATATTTAACTTGTTTTAGGGGCGGGAGTCAGTCAGGGGCTGCCTCGTCTGTCTCCGTCCTGCTGGTCCCACTCTGTCCTTCTATCTGTGGCCGCCCACAGGGGCCCGGCTTCCTGTTTTCATTTGGTAAAACGTGAGCAGGGAGAGCAGTAACTGGGACAGGGTTTGTGTTGACGCCGTTTCTCTGGCTCTGGAATTCAGCTGAGCCTTCAGAGACCCCAGAGGCCTTGCCAGGCTTAGCTCCCAAGAGCCTCTCTGCCGGGAGGCGCCCGTGTTTGCCAACAGCCTGGCCCGCCCTCCCCTCCTGGGTCCTCCCCTGGAAACCAGGCGGCTCCGCCTCTCTCCGGAGGAAGTGCCCCAGGGGAGCGCCTGGCAGCCCAGCCCAGCCCAGCCCAGCCCTTTCTGAGAAGGCAGCCTGGCCCAGGGCCCCCTCCCCTCCTCCCTTTGTCTCCTAATTTGGTGAGGCTGCCGCCCGCTCGCCCCATTGGCTGCTGGGTCCCTGCAGTTTGGAGACCGCTGTTCAGTTTGGGTTGGTTTTCTCCACACCTAGTCCCCAGCCCCTGCTGCTCCAAGATTTGGGGAGTGGCTGTACCTGTGGGGACTCTCCCTAGTAAACAGCCCGGCCCTGCCCTCCAGCCCTGCCCTCCTGGCCCTGGCCCTACCCTCGGGCCCTGCGTCTTCCGCCTGTTTGAAGTGTTTTGCTTCCCGGCTGCCAGGCCAGGGTGTGTGCTGTGTGGTTGGGTGGTTTTTTTCACTCTGAAGCACTCCACCCAGAAAATGAATGAACGCTCTCTCAAGTGAATGTTGCTATCAAGGCAGCGTTGACTTTTTTTTTTTTAATATGTTTTATTGACTTTTTACAGAGAGGAAGGGAGAGGGAAAGAGAGTTAGAAACATCGATGAGAGAGAAACATCGAACAGCTGCCTCCTGCACACCCCCCACTGGGGATGTGCCCGCAACCAAGGTACATGCCCTTGACCGGAATGGAACCTGGGACCCTTCAGTCCGCAGGCCGACGCTCTATCCACTGAGCCAAACCGGTTAGGGCTAGCGTTGACTTTTTTCCGTTTTAAAGCAGCGGTATTTATAGAAAAGAAGAAATGGGGTCATCGTTTGCTGGGTGTTGCAGAAGCACACCGTCTGGAAGTGCTCCTGTGAGCGAGTTTTAAGAAACTGCTGCACTGACACCCGAGAAAGCACACACAGAGCGAGCGCCTCCACGTCACTCAGAGCCGGGCTTTCACAAGCTGTTTCTTCATGAAAGCTTCTCTTGACTGTTCTATTGTAGACGTCAAAAACGGAAGTAATCTGTTTACTGAAACTTGGCAAAGGTTAGCAGAACATGAAGTAAAACAAAAAGCAACTGGCACCAAAGTCTAAAGCCCTCACAGCGCCCTCTGCACACAGTCCCGCTCTCTGCCCGTCTCCTCTGTGGCCCGGCCCCGCTGTGGCCCGTCTCCCCTGTGGCCCGGCCCCGCTGTGGCCCTCCTCATGCAAGTCCTCAGAAACGTCTGAGCACCTTACGTCGGCGACAGTGCTCAGCCCTGGTTCTCATTAAAAGCCTGCTCTTTAGGGTCAGGAGCCACAAGACACTAACTTCAATGATAAATGGAAACGGTGGCTGGCGTGCGGCCAGGCCGTGCTGAGGCGGGCACAGCGACGCTCCTGACAGACCGGCACCCCTGGGGCAGGGGCAGCGGTGGCCGCGGGACAGTGCAGTCCTCATGCCCTTTGCTCGTTTTAGTGTTTGTTTTTATGATGTTCACCAAAGCCATGCTGCACATGGCGGCTCTCTGGGGCTCTGAGGGTCGGTGGCCTCCCCTGGCTACGCCCCGGGACGCAGGCGGCACGGCCCTCCAGCGCTCCCCTCGCGGCACACGCGCCCCAGTTCTTAGGTTTGCATGTGACAGACTCACTTCCACTGTGAGGCTCGTTCCCTTTCTCCTCCCCCCTCTTCCCAGGAAAGCTCCCCCAGAGTGGTCGGCTTCACTGAGTTGCATTTTCCTCCTGTCGCCTCCAGGGCACGGAGCACTGCTGTGCTCTCGGTGCAGCCGTGGCAGTGGCTGTGTGCGCCCTCCTGGGTCGCCCGGCACCAGGTCCGTATCAGCCTCGCCCCTGGCGGTGCCCCCCCCCCCTCCACCGGTAATCCATCAGTAGGATAGAATGTCTTGTTCTAGGCGTCAGCGCCTTCCTCCCACTTCAAAAAATGTGTATCTTCGGAGGGTGCTGCCCAAGACCCTAATAGGCACCTCCC